TTTTTTCGTTTGGTTTCTTCCCGTTGAAATACTGATTCAATTAATTAACAAAGTGGAGACAGCCCTAAGTGTTTTTGTAAGCAAAATGAAGAGCCAAGGGAAACATGCTTCGAGGGCGCTCTGTAAATATGCACCGCAATGGTTTCTCTAGATTAATTTTAAGTGAAAGAGCTTTGGGGGTCATTACGCAGAGCAGAGCAGACGAATGAGAACGAAAATAATAGAATGAAAGTATGCAATATAAGAATTGACTAAGCGTTATGATTGTCTCGATTATATTATGCAAAATTTCGACCGAGCAACGACAGCCGCACATCTAAGTTGTGGGATCTCTGATGCCGTGATCTCTGCCCACCAATCCCGCCGAACGCGACAGTTACAGTAAATTCATACTGTATAGAGAACTTTTACGTACAAAATTGGAATGTTCTTGGGCTGCTGAGAACTTAAAGTACAATATTGTTTTGAAGAAGACACAAAATATTTTAAGCGAGGATAATACGATCACTGAACCCGTTGTTTACGAGTATGATACCTTGTTGATACGTTTTAGGAGACCTAGTAGTGACTGTCGTTTTTTTTTGGCTTAATACGTTTATAACACGCCGAAAGAATGAGCCATTGTATTAGGCCGAGAACTTTAATGTTCATCATCATCATCATCATCATTACAGCCCTTCACCTTCACAAGTCCACTGCTGAACATAAGCCTCCCCCAAAGAATGCCACAAAGCACTGTCCTGAGCCACCTGCATCCATCGACTTCCTGCATGTCTGACCAGGTCGTCACTCCATCTCGTGGGGCGACGCCCAACACTTCGCCTACCGATACGAGGCCGCCACTTGAGAACCTTTCTTCCCCATCGGTTGTTGGTTCTTCGAGCTATATGGCCGGCCCACTGCCACTTCAGCTTACTAATCCGTTGGGCTATGTCGGTTACTCTGGTTCTACTGCGGATATCCTCATTCCTAAGTTTATCAGGCAGAGAAACTCCGAGCATAGCCCTCTCCATAGCTAGCTGAGCGACCTTGAGCTTTCTCATACGGCCAGCAGTGAAGGACCACGTCTCAGTTCCGTAAGTCATCACTGGCAACACGCACTGGTTGTACAATTTCGTTTTAAGGTTTTGAGGTATGTCTGACGAAAAGATGTGTCGTAGCTTCCCGAACGCTGTCCAGCCGAGTTGAATCCGTCGATTGACCTCTCGGTCGAAGTTGGACTTACCTAGTCGGACTATTTGTCCCAGGTAAACATACTCGTCAACAACTTCGAGCTTAGTGTTCCCAACAACTACCGGCATAGGTGTGACATGGACATTAAACATGATTTTTGTTTTGTCCATGTTCATCTTAAGACGTATCCGTTGGGAAACACTATTGAGGTCATTGAGCATAGTGCTTAGGTTCTCCAGCGATTCTGCCATAAGGACTATATCGTCGGCAAATCGAAGGTGAGTGACGTACTCGCCATTGATGTTGATACCGTATCCTTTCCAGTCCAGAAGCTTGAAAACGTCTTCCAATGCAGCGGTGAAGAGTTTCGGGGATATAACGTCACCCTGTCTTACACCTCTCTGCAATTGGATAGGTTTCGTACTCTGGTTCTGTACTCGGATAGCCATCATAGCCCTACTGTACAAGCACTTCAACACTTCGATATACCGACAGTCAACTTGGCACCGCTGAAGGGACTGCAGCACCGCCCAAATTTCGACGGAATCAAAGGCTTTCTCATAGTCCACATACGCCAGACATAGTGGCAAATTGTACTCTTCGGACTTCTGTACAATTTGCCGAAGGGTATGTATGTGGTCTATGGTGCTAAAGCCCATTCGGAAACCGGCTTGTTCGGGAGGCTGGAAGTCGTCAAGTCTGCGCGCGAGACGATTCGTAATGACTCTCGAAAACAGCACGTAGACGCGGCTCAGAAGGGAAATCGGTCTGTAGTTCTTCAAGAGAGCGTTGTCACCTTTCTTGAAGAACAAGACCACCGCACTTCTGCTCCACACCTCCGGTGTAATGCCACCATGGAGGACGGAATTAAAGAGCTTCTGAAGGACTTCAAGTACCGGTTTTCCACCCGCTTTCAGAAGCTCCGCTGTAATTCCATCCTCGCCTGGGAATTAATTAAATAAATAATTAATTATTTTAATGTTGATATGTGATTAATCTTAAGAATATAGTTTAATGTTTTTTTTTCTCCCATCGGCGGTTGACGATCAACCCAGACACTGTAGCAAAACATAGCAAACGGGTACTTTTCCTATACTACTGGCGTAAATTCTTTCGCCAAAGTATTCTTTATATACCAGTCCTATTAGATTCATATACTTGATGAAGCATATAATTGCTGGATACCGCAAATATGACCAAAATGCTTGTTATTGTAAAATAATTTCCCACCCTCTTTTGAATTTTACCGACTTCAAAAAAAGGAGGAGGTTGTTGATTCGACTGTATTTTTTATGTGTGTGTTACCTCAGAGATTTTTTTCTAGGTGAATCAATTTTGATGATTCGTTTTTATTTGAAAGCAGGTGTTTCTCATGTGGTCCCATATAAATTTGATCAAGATATGACCAGCAGTTTTTGGGTTATTTATAATAATGCATATTTAATTGACATCGATTACATTGATGATATTCACATTTTGTTTATATTGAAGTTGTTTGTATAAAATTTTTAATTTTACCAATTGATTCAAATCTCTTATGATACAAAGGAATATTACGAAATAAAATAAAATTGGTATGTATATTTACATTACGTTAAGTGCATTGGTAATGATTACCTTTTAACGCTTTTGATATCTTTAAAATAATAAATTGTTATAGCGAAACTGTAATAAAAACAAACATGTTGATTTTTTCTTGTAATTAATGTCGAAAGCATTATTGAGAAATGTCGAAAGTAGGAGTTTTCGTCAGGAAAGTGCTGCACTCCGCTCTAATAGCCATTACGGGCATGAAAAGAATCTTTCAAGCTTGATTTTGCCCCTTGGTCTTTCAAACCGGAATGAAAAGATCGCAATTTTTATCCGAACCATCATACCTTATCTATCTAAAATTAAATGCAAAACCTTTAACAATTTACGTCATGGTAAGAATTGAAAGAATGATATATTTTTAAAAGTTATAATTAATGAATGAAATCAAAAAGTAATAATTAATAAATGAAACAGTATAATAAGGTTTAAGATATTGATTTTGTATATACTTAATACTAAAATACCACAAACTAATATGCATAATAGGGAAATTTAATGCCATAATAATATTTATTTATTTATTTTAAACTTCATATACTTATGTGGTATATAGGCGAACTTAATGCCTAAGGCATTCTCTACCAGTCTATCTAACATAAACAACAGCAGTCTCGTACTTAGATGGTTGTAGATGTAAGCCATGCTTTGCCGCAATTTATGGGGGAATACCAAATGTGGATTTATGATGGGCTGCAATAATGATAACATTATGTGTAAATTAATCCATCGTGCCACTTTGGGGCAAAAAATCTATTAGAACGTCTTCTGCGATAAATGACAAAAACTATCGAAAATACTGTGACACCTATAATCTACGAGTCTGGTAATCTTATCATTACCATTGCAACCTATCGTTAGTCCACTGCTGAACTTCCCATCCCCCCCTCCCCTCACTAAGAATGGCTCATAGGGGCACTTTACCATAGTTGCTACACTTGGTAAGCGATTGTGAACCTCCGTTTTTATTATTTAGAATTGTTATCATGACGAAAATGTTGTCAATCTTCTGTTTCATCTCGCGTCACCTCCTTCGACACCCATGTGGGATGATATGGATTGGTGGAGGGTAATAAATAATGGATAATTAGGTAGTCTGTTACTCTTATCTCCTGTAAAATTTGGACTCGTGTACAATATTAAACTATTATATTAATTTAAAGCTTTTACAGGGCTTACTTTTATAGACTAAAAAGCCTAACGCTACAACAAGGTGATAAATAAATATTCATAACCAAAACGCCAGTCGCGAATGCTAAAATTTATGCTTTTTTAAGAGCAAGATTTACGTTGACCTCCTTCGTGTATGAGAATTTCGTAGGACGTCGTACATCTTCCTAATTTATGTTTACAGTATGTACCAGCCGCAGATATTTCCCTTTAGCATTTTAAATACGTTTATAGGATTTCAAACACGTATCACGGGAAACTCGTTTCAAAGCATTTAATATGTACTATTTAAAAAAATATATTGACATAAGCCATATTACTTTTACTATCCAGTGATCTTAATTAAGCTAAAAAAATTTAAAAAATTTAGTTTAACTAGAAAAGTATGCTATTATTTTCTGTTATACAAAAGCTCTCACCGTTTATCGTAAAATTCAATTAAAACAATATTAATATATTCTAATTTTGCAATGAAATAATTCTTATTTTTTCTCACTTAACTGACTTTCTACTTTTTTTCTGCTATCAATATGGTTTAACATAATTATATAATTTAAAACAACCGACTTCAATATAAATTATTAAAAATAACTCAAAAAATGTTGGTCAGACCTTGTTAAAATTTATTTGGGAACATATGTAAAGCACCAGCTTTCAAATAAAAAAAGAATTATCGAAATCGGTGCAACCAGTAAAAAGTTATGAGGTAACACACATAAAAAAACATACATTCGAATTGAGTACCGGCTCCTTTTAGAAGTCGGTAGAAAATAAAAGAAAATTTGGACCGACAGTGGCTAAAATTAATATTTTTTATTAAACAATATAAAACGCACAAATCAAAGTATACTCGTCAGAAGGCAAAAACATATCAAAATACAGGTGTGGTTATTCATGCTAAACTGTTATCACTTAGTACGTTTTATCTCAGCAAACATCGATAACCTAGCTGTACGCATTTATCTTTATGATTACAAACTAGTGCCGTTCCGTTAGAGTCAGTGTGTGGACAACCTTAAAGTTCAAATACCAAATTGTTTTAGTGAGAAGTAAAATATTTAAGTGTCATGGCTGGAGCTGGCAAAGGCAACGGGCTAGGACCCGCTGTCGGGAAACTAGAATCCCAGATTTATTGCATCAAGTACACTTTATTTTGCTTCAACGTCGTGCTGTGGGTGGGTTGACTCATTTGTATCTACCGTTGAACATTGTCTTTTATACAATTTAGATGCAACTTTACAGCTAAAGAGATGTTAATGATACTTATTACATTTTAGCTACTATTCCTATTTCGTCCATGTTCTCTTTAAGTATACTTAAGAGAATAACTTCAAAATATGCACAAAACACAATGACGGCAAATTTGTGATAATGTTCCAAAACTTGTGTATTGATAAAACATACAAATTACGAATTTAAAAAGCTGGTAAAGATAAATGCAGTTTTAATTTACGTATAAAATAAATCTGCATTATATACATTTTTGCCTACATTATATAAATTTTTCTAGTAATGCTTATTTTTGAGTCTTGTTCTATTTTCATAAAAGTTTATCAAAAGTCTATTTCTGAATAAAGGCCTCCCCATTAGATTGCGTTATAGAGGGGATTTTGCATAGTTCCCACGCTTGAAATTTTTAACAATATTACTTTAATGTGGATTCATTTCTTATCTATCTCATTTAAACCAAAATAAAGGGCTGAGCGTCGAGAATGTGTTATCTATAAAAGATAAGCAATTTGCCCCGTTTTCCAGCTACAATGCTGTCATTGTCTGAATCACACATAACAATTAAATTACGTTGAATTACTAGTTTGTTTCTCAGTATGCCACTTCCTGCACTTTATTATACTTGTTGATATTTATATTTCGTAATTCTTAGAGAAACGTTTACCTCACTACTGGAATTTCACTAGTTATACGTACATCAATTGCACATGTATCCGGAACATTAACTATTTGTAGGCAAAACAAATACTTGGTCTTTCCGGGAATTAAACCCCGGCCCCGTAACGTTACATTGTTTGCGCACAGTGCAAGTGAAATTCAGTCTGTAGGACCTTATATTTCTTGTATTTCTTAACAATTTTTAAATACCAACAGATTTTCGCTGTCACTAAAAAAATATCTTCAGTAATCACGCGGGGTTTACAGTGCAATTTTAACAAATCTTTGTTAGCAAATCAAAGAAATTCTAATAATCAGTCATTTGGTCTCTGATTCGAATTCCAGGTTGGGCTAAAATAATTTATTTAGTTTTTCTATCAAAAAATTCTATAAAGGCGTCCTACACCTGATCTCTCTCCAATCGTGTTGGATTGCCATTCAATCGGAATATGAAAGGTGAGAAAATAGAGAATGCAACTGTGCCTGCGCATACAATCCGGCACTATAACCCTGTCCTGCAAGTAGAACTAATCTCGGTTGGGACTGGTCACTGTGACCAAAATTAGTTCCCGAGGACATTAATATCTTTCTAGTTAATGAACTTCAAGATCTTTTGGTCATTTTTATGTCCAACCTGGAAAGCCTTTAAGATTATATATCAAGAGTCTTAAAAAACCAGTTCTTGTTTGTAATAAAACACACCCTGCTCTTATTAGTTAATTAGCAAAATTAGCTGCAAGTAGCATTCATTAGCTACACGTGGCGTTGGTAGTAAATCTAGGAGTTGTTGCTCGCAATTTTCGCGTCGAAGCAACAGTTATTATGCTTGCTTAATTAAGAAAATGTAAGAGCACGTATGCACATAAAAGACTGTAAATTCGACATAATTTTTATTATTTTGCTTGCAAATATTAACCCGTTTTTATTATTAAAGAGCTGTTGTAGCTTAGGTACCAAAAGCCCGACGTAAATTTTAGAGTTTGCGAGCAACCTAGGTCGATCTCCACACGGATAAATGAAATTGTTAATTGCAATTTTAATTGTCTATATTAACACGTGCTCGGCGTTGAAGGTTAACATTGTGAGAAATCCAACAAGTCTAAGAAATTAAATGTGTCCAGAAAATATTAAATTCGCTACTACCTAGCAGTACAGTATATATAGGATGAATTTGAGTTATAGCAACTTCCGTCAAAAGGAGCAATGTTAGAACAGGAGCTAGGTGTAATTTTATGGCATGCGTGTAGTCCGAGGTGATCCTCACTTCTTCTATTTAGAATTTTCATTAGCTTAGTGCTGATTTATTATACACCGCGGTGAAGTAATAGATGGGGGAGAAACCTGCATATTTGTGAAGAGCGACATTCTCCAATACAATAACTTACACATGTTGTAGCTGACTCAAACTTGCTCCTAAAATAATGGGAAGTGTGAGAAGGCTACGCCCGGCAAAGGGACTTATACTAGTTGTTACTTAATTTATATTTCTTTTTCAGAAAAATATCTGCAAATATTCTTTCGAAATGAACTCTATATTATAACTTATACCGAACCGATTTAGATATGATTTTGCATAGGCAACGCAATATTAAAGACATAAAAAGAAGTTTCTTCACAACACTTCGAACGTCTTCTGCTGCAATTAAATAAAAACTCCACAAATATAGTAAATTTTGTAGAATTAATTATCTTGCGGAGAGCGGAGAAAGAGAGAAGAGAGAGTGTGACGCCTGTTAACTTATGGACTTCTTATTCTTTAGTACTCTAATCCTAATGACACGTCATTATGAACTTACATCATTAATTAATACATATACCAACTACAATCTAAATATAAGAATATTACAATATTGTAAATATGATTTATTATATGTTGATAATACTACATATAACGTCGTGCAGTGGTGACGTAAGACATCCACTACCCAATAATATCCCGTGGGCTTGGTAATAATAAAGCACGTAGCGGCTGTGTAAAGAAAATCCACTATCTCATATCGTACCGTGGGTCTCGTAAGGGACTACTGAGGGAAACTGAAACTGAGACAGATAACAACGCAAAATAATAAGTAACTGCGTTTGCCAAGCCAACTGCCAAGCGTGGCAATTATTGCAAAATCCCCCCTACGACGCAATAGATGGGGGAGGTTTATGTTCAGCTGTGGACTTTTATATGCTCTAATGGATGGAAAGGATGAAAATATCATAAAACAAGTTTAAAATTTTATTACGACGATGGCTTGTAGATAAAACATTTTACACAATAAATGAGTTTTTAAATTATAATGATTAAGTACCTGCTATCTTAATTAAAAATCGATACATGAATTTATTTATTTATTTATATTAATTTATATATTTATAATAATTAATTTATTTATATTAATTAATTTATTTATAAAATTTGTAAAAGGACGTTTTTAGTTTTGTGTATGGATTAAGTTTAGAAATTATTTATATTATACGACCTTTTGGAAATTTGCATGTTGTTGAAAACAGCTAAATAGGTTTTTTTGTTGGTAAGTGGATGCTGTGGCCCATAGACATCTACATCTATCCTCAATAAAGACTCAAGATGCAGATGCGTTGTCACCCGTGAGGACTAAGATGGAATGCCTCTTTGCCAGTAAAAAGGGTCTCCGGTTCTCTACACTCACCATACGAAACACAGCAGCGTTAAGCTGCTATTTTACGCTTGGTTTTCTGTGAGTTTTAGTTACAGTTTTAGTTACTTAGACTAACACGAGGTAATACTTTCGCAATGGCTTCAGAATATTAAAGGATATTTGCTGCCAACAATGTGCTGATATACGTACGACTGTTACACGCATAATACGTAATTCGACAATTATTTTACGAAAACGCAACCATTAACACAATCTTCCAAAAATAAATATAACCTGTAACAGAAAAATAATTGTAATTGCTTTTTTAAAGACTTTAGTAGACTTTAGTGGCAAACTATCATAGCTCGTGTTCAGAACTGTCGACAGTCTGAAGTTTGCCATCGATAATAATTAATTTCTGGGTTACAGCCAAGGTTTTTACACATATGCAACATAATTTTAAGTTATATATCTAGTTCCCTTACTTTGCTTATTATCAGTAACTAGCAACCCGCCCTGGCTTCGCACGGGTGAAATTTTGAACAGTGAAAATTTTTATTTTCGAACAGTGCTTTTTCAAACATAAATATTTTCATTTATGTTTGAAAAAGCACTGTTCGAAAGATTTCGAGTTTGTCGTTTTGGTATTGATAGTTCATAATTACAAAAAGTGAGCTTTGCAAGAAAATATTATATTTATTGTATAACCTTTATTTATATTTAATCGTATAGCTTAAATGAGAAACATGTAAAATATCAAAATTGATAAAGGTTCATTGGTTCAAACCAAAAAAAAAACAATAAAATTACAACGACTCAAGTAAATTGGAGAATACCCTGGCCCTGTAAGAGGTTGTTTTCAAAAATCGAAAAATACGTATTATTTTATTTTATTAACAGAAGAATACTTTCAATAAGTTTCTAGCCCCACCAAATCGCCCCATAAAACAGAAAGTTTCATACAAATTGTAACTGGTTGAATTTTCCAAAATACTTTCTTGGTGGATGCCTTAGTAATAAAAGGAAGCTATTGTCCCGATTTCCTGATTCTATGTCCAGTATTTTTGGGCTGGGTGTCTTAATAAATTAATTTTCATACAAACTAGAATATTTGCAATCTAGTATTATTTTTTCAAAAATAAAACCACCAGTTTAACAATTAAAAGAGACCATCAATAATTTTTACAAGTTTGATCACTCTTTGATGCTTTTCCCTAAGGGGTTGTTTTGAAAAATCGCAAAATCCGTATTGTTTTTTTTTCTAAACTGTACTTTCAGTAAGTGTCGAGTCAATCGGCCCCTAAAATACAAAAATTCATACAAACTGTGACACCCTAATTCATCCTTTTATTGGTTAAATTTTCAAAAATCCTTTCTTATTGGACGTCTACGTCATAAAAGGCAGCCGCTGTCCAAATTTCAGATTTCACGTCCAGCGATTTGAGCTACGCTTGTGTTGCGTTGATATCCTTTTTTAAATATATAGATAAATAAGACATTAATATGTTAAAATAACATTAAAATTAAATGTTCGCTTGATTTAAATGTTATTTTAACTATCACTCGAAGGATTTCGATCTGGTTTGACACAAAGCGCTTCTTTAGAAGCTTCCTTCTCATGGGTTTCCTGAGAAATTATGCAATTCATCAATGGTTTTCTTGCACATCGATACACCAAGGTCGTAGTTGACGGAATATGTTCCGATTACTAGCTTGCTAATGCTGGTGTTCCACAAGGTTGCGTTCTTTTGCCTACGCCGTTTCTGTTGCATATCAATGATATGTTACAAAGCAGTAACGGCGGATGGCAGCGCTGGTGACACTTTATACACTAGCCGTGACAATATTTCTCGGAAACACATTATTGAGTCCTGGAATAAACTTGTGTTTCAAGTCGGACCCTTGTAAAACAAGGTTTATATATGGTAGAGCCATGCTGCAGCTATATTATGGCTGTAGCATGAATGGGTCGGCTCTACCGAGGACGGACCACACTCTCATACCAGCGTAAAATAGCAGCTTAATGCTAATATTTCGTATGGTGAGTGTAGAAAACCGGATAGCTTTTTTAGTAGAAACAACGCAATTCATCTTCACCTTCAAAGGGCATTGTCAGCATCTGCATTTTGATTTCTATTTGAATCGAGGATAAATCATTTACTTACTATAAGGTGCTCTGTTCTCGTTTGTCACCTTTATTATATAAAAAAAAACAAATTCTCGTACTGGGGCTGACTAAACCTAGTCCAATCTAACCCTCAGAAGACACAGATTTGTATATTTATGACTAAATTAACCATTTGCCGTAACTCATCAAAAATAATTTTGCACGTGGTAATACCAGCGTAAAATAACAACTTAACGCTGCTGTGTTCCGTATGCTGAGTGTAGAGAACCGGAGACCCTTTTTACTGGAACCAATGCATTCCATCTTAGTCCTTACGGGTGACGATGCATCTGCATTTTGATTTCTAATCGACGATATATGTAGATGTCTATGGGCTACAGCAACCACTTACCATCAGGTGGAATGTATGCTCGTTTGTCACCCTATTTCTATTAAAAAAAACTCATAGATTTCAGGGCACTCCCCTCGTTGCCTCAGTCCTCATCGGCATTCTCGCATAGCATAGTGAATGACACTCAGTTATGCGGTTATTTTTAAGAAATCTTAAATGCCTTCTAAAAAGCTTGATGTGCTCGTAGAACAGACATTATTTCATGCCAGCACACCGCTTACAACATTAAAAGATACATACATATTCGGCCTCAATTAAATACTGTTCTCATTTCTGGACAGGGGCATCTCATTCTACGTGATTGCTCTTCATCTTGACCGCATCCAGCAAAGAGCGGCCCGAGTCGTTGACGACCATGTTCTTTCTGATCGGATCAATTCACTGGCGCTACATGGCAATGGCTTAGCAATGAATTGTTGCGCTGGGGCCGCGGATTCCAATCCCGCACGAAACGAGTATTTGTATGGCATACAAATAATTGTTCCGGGTCTGGATGTTAGTCCTCGTGCAATTTATGTTTGTAAACTGCCTCCTCGATACAGGATAAAATCCTAGTGTGGGGGTAACGTTTTTTTTTAAGAAAAATGCTAATTAATTGTTCGAATTAATTCCAACCTCCATATGGAATATAATACAAACACACATCGCGACATAATTTACGATACACTATCTACAGTCTACACCATCGGAATGCTTGGCGTTAAACCGTCGCGCGTTTTACTAGGAGTTTTCTTCTTTGCACGACTTCTTTGCGAAATCGTTCACCACCGGCAATTTTTGAACTTTTGTATTCTTAACTCAAATTCTAGTAGCCAATTACTATAAGATGGACTATATGTTCGTTCACCACTTCAATTTTATAAAAGAATACTTCTTTAAGATGAAATTTTCCTTCACATTTAAAACTTTGAGCATCATATTACCCTACGTTTTATATGAAAAAAAAAACAAATCTCACCGTAATATAATAAAACAAATTGTCTTGATAAAAGCATTGTTACTAAAATGTGCCCAAATAAAAATATATACATGAGATGAAATCCTCATTTCTAAGCAAATAAAACAACCTGAATGGATGCTTATAACTTTTATTCATATTCCAGTACGTAATACAAATGTTTCATTATTCTCGTAGACAAATAGAATTTATCCAGCCTATTATTTTCGACATGAGTAAACATAGATATTAAAGATATAACTTGATTCAACGTTCTTTATTTACTCATAAGTAACAAATGTAATGATTTCTTAAAATTATGTAAAATTATGCGGATACTACACACATTGAATAAAATTATTATTAAGGATAATGATTGCTTATATTCACGCGAACACTACACATTTAAATAAAAGTAGCTTTTACGGATTTTATCGCGTATATTAACGTATTTTGTATACGTTTCCAGCACTTTACAGCACCCACTGTCACGGGGGGGGGGGGGGGGGGGGGCACTGAGATGTTTGAAGTCCCAATGTCATAGTTAACCACGACTACCTCCAGATTAAAATTATTATTCTTATTGTGAGGGTATTTATAGAGTATTCTCATTCAAAATCCTAAAAACCTATGGAAAGTTATACTGTGTATAGAAAAACCACCCATAGTAATCGATATTAAAACATTTTCGTTTCTTAACTTTTAATTAGCCAACTTCAAAAGAAATAGCAACGCACCGGCAGTGCATAATATTCTACGAGCCGTTCCGAGTGACTATCTACTTCCCATGTCATAAAAACTATTAGACCTTTACAATTGCAATTTTGAATTTATAATAAAGATATTACCTAGAATTTTTGGATTTTTGAAAATTAGAATACCTAGAATTCGAAATTGCATAAATCTATCGCCTGGCAGGTGAGCTGGTAACAGCAGTTTTTTATTGTTTTGAATCGTTATTAGGAATATTCTGCCCGTCTCCTGTTTCAATTTCCCTCATATATTTTACTTTTTATATAAAATAGGAGGAAAAACGAGCACATAGTCCACCTGAAAGTAATGTATGCTATGACCCTGTGTATGTAAGAATTCAATTAATACTCATACAATAAGGCTACTGTCGATGGAAATAATATAAAGATATAATATTTAGTTGACCATAGATTTGAATAATCAATACAATATCCTATTTCCTCTCGTAGGTTCGTAAGAGGCAACCATGGAAAATGCCAGAAAACTTCGGATGGTGGCATAACCATTTTGTTTACGTCACACACAAATAAACAGACTGCGATCAGGCAATCATCAATTCACCTACAAAGTAATGGCGATTAAAACAAATCCTTCCTAAAAAAAAGACAGTACCATATTCAGGCGGGAACTTTTACCACCAGAAAAGTTGCCATATATTTAAATTATGTATAATATTTGTTTTTTTTTTTTAGTTATTTGGCGTGTCTATATTTGCCCTTTGTCTATGGATCTGCATTGAACCTGGCTTCAACGAATGGATGAAAATTTTGGAACTTCAGAAGTACTTCATTGGGATCTACATCATTCTTATTGCCTCATTAGGTGTAATGGTAGTAGCGTTCCTTGGTTGCGGTTCGGCTCTTATGGAAAATATCCTGCTATTATACGCAGTAAGTTAACTATATAATGCGTTACATTTCATGATTTCTTCAAATATAATATGTTATATAATATTTTCAAAAAAGATCATCATAAACACAAATCCAAAACTAAGTTTTTTGGAAGTGAAAATTTCTTTAGCCGATATTTTTCTTAAGCGATTTTTGGTAGGGGAAATACTTATGGGTTCTCGTCATCGTTGACCTCGATTGCACGATGCCCACAATACGTCACGAGCATAATATATACTACGCGTCGCTAGTCTGGCGCAAGCCAAACTAGCGACGTAGTAAAGCGGCGGTACATAGTATAGTATAGCGACGTAGTGTATCGGGTTGTGTACTTACATGTATACGCATATATCATTAAGTTTTCACTTCTGTCGGCAGTCCATTGAGTGCCTATGTTTTTTGTTTATAAAATTTAAGTGTCATATGAAGGAATATGGGGTCCACCTGATCATACAAGTAAATTGCTAGTACAGCCCTCGTACAATCAATTTTAAACAAAGAAGTCTACAGACGAGTTGTTATCTCCGAAGACCAAGATGGAATGCTTCACAGCCTATATTTATACTGGTTCTCTACACTCTATAGACTGGAACCCAGCAGTCCAGACACTACTGCTTGGCGGCAGAAATAGTCGGTAATATTAAATCACTGACAAAAAAAATTCAACAAATCTTTCAATTATTTTTTTATTACGTATTTTGGTAACCTGTAAAGTGTTATTTATGTGTTGAATAAAACTACTTTTACAGATTTTATCGAGTTTAATTAACTTATTTTATATTCCCGACGTTTCGGTTGCTTTCCAGCAACCGTGGTCACGGGGGACTGGAAAGCAACCGAAACGTCGGGAATATAAAATAAGTTAATTAAACGCGATAAATCCGTAAAAGTAGTTTTATTCAATGTGTAGTGTTCGTGTAAATATAAGAAATCATTATTATTGTGATTGATGTTGATATGATTCATTTTTTTAATAGTTTATAGGCACACAAATCGCCTTGTTTGTGTTTGGATTGATTGGTGCTTGTGTGGTTCTGGACTTCTCTACATACGACTCCAGCATACAGCCTCTTATTAAAAATATTTTAATGAGGCTTATAAATAATCCCCAACATGAAGGCAGTCGAGAAATCCTAAGGATGGTGCAAGAAGGGGTACGTATTAACATTATCGTTTATTAGTTTGTATTTTATTGCATGTAATTTTTAATTATTGTGAATAACTAATGTGTATCCCTATCCGTTTGTTTTAATTGGGTAAATATTACTTTACATCCACGAATGAAAGCATCTGGTGCGAATTCTTAATAAATTTGTTATCTTTCTATGTATCTTTCTATTATACAATCGTCAATACAAGTAAATTATAGTTATATTTTATTGATAATGATAACCTCTTTGTTTTCGCAGAATTTAAATTTTTTATAACTTAAATACAATGTTTTTGAAAATTCTAATTGTTTTAAACATTGTTTTTACAGATTGGATGCTGTGGAGCAGATGGCCCAATGGACTACTTAAACTTGAACAAACCATTGCCTTCTGAATGCCGTGATTCAGTCACTGGTAATGCCTACTTCCATGGTTGCGTAGATGAACTGACTTGGTATTTAGAAGGGAAGACTGGCTGGCTGGCTGGCATGGTTCTCGCTTCTTGTATGATCTGCGTAAGTACAATGAACCTTTCGAATTTTTCTAATGATGATACTCGATGAAATACTAAAACTATAGTACATTATTTTACTATCCAACCCTATCATAAATATGAAAACAAACACATTACACGATCCGAGAACTAATAATTTATCTTTGTTTGAACTGAATCTATGATTTAACAGTACCTTTATGAAATATTTTTATGTATATCTGTTGCCTCTCCCAAGGAATGCCACATAGCAAGATTTTTGGGAGAGGCTTATGTTTAGCTGTGGACTTGTATAGTTGAATGAAAAAATATCTGTTACAAGAACCTTTACCTGCAAATTACTCGATAATATGACCACTACCACAGAACAGAGACTTTATCAAATCTTCACTCAAGACCAGACGCCTCACATCTCGACGCTGCTTCCCGATACCGTTCGGATTTTTACATTAGTACAAGCAACATTATTCTGAGTTCGTATTATGATGATTTTACGTGGCAGATCTGGTAGAACCATGCTTCAGCTATATTGATAGTATAGTTGTACCACGAATGGGTCAGCTCGACCGGGGAAGGACCACGTTCTCACAGAATACCAGTGTAATATAACAGCTTAACGCTGCTGTGTTTCATATGGTGAGTGTAGAGAACTGGCGACCCATTTTACTAAAAACAAGGCATTCTATCTTAATCCTCACGGGTGACAAGGCATCTGCATTTTGATTCGTAGTAGATGATGGATGGCAACAGTTACTACTTATCCTCAAGTGGACGGTGTGCTCCTTTGTCACCCTTATCCTATAAAAAACAACACTTTACCCGTCCAAAAGCTAATAGATGTCTAAGACGGGCTACACAAATAAATTAACATACATAAAAAAAAAACACTAAATTATTATAATAATAAAAATCAAATATATTTTTCTGCTTCAGGTGGTTAATGCTGTTATGTCTATGGTCTTGATTCAGGCAGTGAAGAAAGAAGAAGAGGAGGCTATAGTCTATAAAAATTAGATTATCCTTGTACTTCTCTTATAATGTAATTTTATTAGTAGTTGTGTCTTGTACTTTTAATTAGGTGTTACGTTTAATTTACGAGCAAAGTCAAGGAATTTCAATTAAATTTTTCTAATTGAATTTTGGATGAAAGAAATATCCTTTTAATTCTTTGAATTAAATTTACTAAAATTTGTATGCTGTTTTCTCTTTTTATAATATAATTGTTTGTTTTTCTTCTTTTATTGGTGAAATATTAAATGTAAGAAAATACCTAGAATTAACAGTAGCCTTATGATTTAGGGTGCGGACTGCAAATTCAATTCGTAAAATCATGAAATCGAATCCGCCATTCGACTAGCGTTGTAACATAAGCATTTTAAGCATGTTAGGGATGGTGGGTTGGTGATGATGATGATGATGGTTTAACGGGAGTATTAGTAATAATAAGAGCGTTACTCCTTTTTTTTTTAATGAGTGCTTAGCGAGGAAGTATTTATAGATTATTTTTAAGCAGTTTTAAGTCCTCTATAACTTATCTATAATATTCCATTCTAAATTAATGTAATGAATTGAGGACAAGAAAATATTTGCCGTTCATTAGAAATTAATTAAGATATAGAATACAATAAATACTAAAATCGTAATCAAAAGTATATTATAATAATTATAACTATATATTTTATTTACTTTTAACAAAATATGATACGCAACATACCAGGTTATGTTCAGTTTTTTGTGTTAGTTCAGACTTTTTGTGTTATTTGATGAATGATTGTTCAGTTTAAATAATCATTTTATATTTCAATATCATTTTTTAATAAAGCGTGCTTTTATAACATCAACGCATATCAAATTTGTTGCATGTTTTTTAATTATTTACTTTTATTAAATCAAAAATACATGATGAAGGCTTGATATTACCTGTAAACTAACGAATTATAATCTATAATTCATTGAAGCATGAATCTAAACAGATTTACTTGTTTTTATTAAACATTTCACTGTTTAAATCATCTTCAATATAATGAAAATAAAAGAATTAGCAGGAGTGATATGTTGAAAATATCAGCATACGCTGACAATTTTGTCCTTGGATTTATTACAGTTATGGTTATTTTAAGTAAGTTAGCAAAGTTAGCTAAGAGTTGCAGACATTAGCGACACGCGGCGTCGGCAGTAAATTTAGGAGTTGTGGCTCGTAACTTGCGGGTCGACACGACAGTTATTAAGCTCGCTGAATTAGAAAATTCAACAATGATGTGCACCGTTTACTGCCCACTTGATTATTAACAGTGTCGTGAAGGGACAAATAAAAAAAAAAATAGAACCTAACCTAAGTACAACAAAACAACAAAAGTAGAGCCAGAAAAACAATATATTTAAATTTATAAAAGGTATTTACAATTTTATAAAAAAAATGATGTGAGGATGATGATGGATGAAGTGAGAATACAATTAGATTATAAAAAAAAATAAAGGTGAGAGAATAGGGGAATATAGCGTTGAAGTGGGGCCTAAAAGTCGAAGCGACACACGTTGCGTTTGTAGAAGTAGGTTTCTTAGCAGCGACGGCACGCAGCGCCTGAAGCCAGCACACGCCGTTTGCGCTTGTAGAAGTAGGTTTCTTAGTAGCGACGGCGCGCAGCGCCTGTAGCCAGTACACGCAGCGTCCGGAGCCGGCGCACGTAGCGCCTGGAGAAGGGGCGCGCAACGCTTAGAGCTAGCAGTTGCAGCGCCCAAAGGTAGCGCCGGCGGTAGGTGCACTCGGCGCCTGGAGTAAGTAGTAGTAGTGCCCGGAGTAGTGTGGCCCCCGCGCTTGTAGTAGACTCGAAGCGACTTCCGAGGTAGATGGAGGCTTGTAGGATTCCGGAGTGGCGCGGCCCGAGTTTGAAGAAGGCTTCGCCGAAGACTTCACGTGTAAATGGAGGCTTGCAGGATCCCGGGGCAGTGCGGCCCCGGGATAAGGCCTTTAGGAGATACTTCCAATTCGCGAACTGAAGCGAGACTGCCTTTCTTCACCGATTGTTCGGCTTTTATACCTTTCTAGAGAGAACGGAAAAATTATTTAAATTATACGCAAATTTTTTTTGTAAATGGTCAAGAGAAAAGAGGATTTATGTGGAATTATCGAAATAGGAATAATAGATCGGTAGCAAATTTGAATATAATTTATATGGAAACGATATAAATAAGAAAGACAAAATATGTCAAATTTTTGTTTTTGGTTTATAATAAGAAAACGGTAAGATTTAAGTGGAAAATGAGATATTATTGATATAGGAAAAAAGGTAGCGCAACTGCCCACACAAAGTCCAAGATTGTAGAGTTACGGAAAACTAGCTAAAAGATCGAAAAAAGGTAGACTCCATTGACACCAATTTAAAAGTGCTGATAATGTGAAAATACGAAGTAGAAATGATTTGTTATTGTGTTCTTATGGTTTAAAATCGTTACAGGATCCTATGGAAATAAAGGTGATGTAAAATATCCAGTTTTGAGGTGAATGCAAAAAATCGAAACAGAATGGAAAAATGAATTTAAAATAATGTAAAATGATACGTAAGTAGTATAACATCTAAATATAATCCAGATAAGTTGAAACACTAGATGAAGTGTTGTTTTAGAATTTGGAAGGTTATCTACAATAAAAATATTAAAGTGATGAATGTAAGTGTTGTGAGAAATGTAGGTTTAAATATAATCCAGATAAGTTGAAACACTAGATGAAGTGTTGTTTTAGAATTTGGAAGGTATGAAAAGGATGAATAAATGAATGATGAATAATGAGTTAAGAACGAAAGGGAGAGCAATTAAATCAAAAGGGAATGGACAAGGCGCAGTAAAGGTGAAGAATTAAGAGAGAAAGAGGACTTTTACGTTGGGCGCCAAATGTCGTGAAGCGACAAATAAAAAAAAAATAGAACCTAACCTAAGTACAACAAAACAACAAAAGTAGAGCCAGAAAAACAATATATTTAAATTTATAAAAGGTATTTACAATTTTATAAAAAAAATGATGTGAGGATGATGATGGATGAAGTGAGAATACAATTAGATTATAAAAAAAAATAAAGGTGAGAGAATAGGGGAATATAGCGTTGAAGTGGGGCCTAAAAGTCGAAGCGACACACGTTGCGTTTGTAGAAGTAGGTTTCTTAGCAGCGACGGCACGCAGCGCCTGAAGCCAGCACACGCCGTTTGCGCTTGTAGAAGTAGGTTTCTTAGCAGCGACGGCGCGCAGCGCCTGGAGCCAGTACACGCAGCGTCCGGAGCCGGCGCACGTAGCGCCTGGAGAAGGGGCGCGCAACGCTTAGAGCTAGCAGTTGCAGCGCCCAAAGGTAGCGCCGGCGGTAGGTGCACTCGGCGCCTGGAGTAAGTAGTAGTAGTGCCCGGAGTAGTGTGGCCCCCGCGCTTGTAGTAGACTCGAAGCGACTTCCGAGGTAGATGGAGGCTTGTAGGATTCCGGAGTGGCGCGGCCCGAGTTTGAAGAAGGCTTCGCCGAAGACTTCACGTGTAAATGGAGGCTTGCAGGATCCCGGGGCAGTGCGGCCCCGGGATAAGGCCTTTAGGAGATACTTCCAATTCGCGAACTGAAGCGAGACTGCCTTTCTTCACCGATTGTTCGGCTTTTATACCTTTCTAGAGAGAACGGAAAAATTATTTAAATTATACGCAAATTTTTTTTGTAAATGGTCAAGAGAAAAGAGGATTTATGTGGAATTATCGAAATAGGAATAATAGATCGGTAGCAAATTTGAATATAATTTCTATGGAAACGATATAAATAAGAAAGACAAAATATGTCAAATTTTTGTTTTTGGTTTATAATAAGAAAACGGTAAGATTTAAGTGGAAAATGAGATATTATTGATATAGGAAAAAAGGTAGCGCAACTGCCCACACAAAGTCCAAGATTGTAGAGTTACGGAAAACTAGCTAAAAGATCGAAAAAAGGTAGACTCCATTGACACCAATTTAAAAGTGCTGATAATGTGAAAATACGAAGTAGAAATGATTTGTTATTGTGTTCTTATGGTTTAAAATCGTTACAGGATCCTATGGAAATAAAGGTGATGTAAAATATCCAGTTTTGAGGTGAATGCAAAAAATCGAAACAGAATGGAAAAATGAATTTAAAATAATGTAAAATGATACGTAAGTAGTATAACACTACAACAGCTAATCGCCCATTAATAATTTCGAATAAATTGAATTCTAAAATGAGACTGACTGTGTAGTGGCGGTGTAAGAATATCCACTACCACATATTACCACATTGAAATTCTTAGGGTAGGGCTTTAAACAGAATCTCTACTACTGGCCGTAATTTTGTGCTATAAGTATACGACAAGATTTTGAAGATAGGTTCATACACTCTGAAGATTAACCACCCCCTCCCCCCACACACATGCAGAGAGACAGATAGGAGAAAATTTCAAAAATGGTTTTTCATAATAGCAAGTCTTAATAACGTTATGTAAAAAAGTCTTATCACCTTAATTGTTTAAGTGATAATCATCAAAACCAGTTGTTTTATCAGTTTTTCGATATCACATAAAAACCCTCCATATTTGTCAGAAGCCTGAACAGACAGATAGACAGAATTTAAATAAAAAACTGGCCAAGGGCGTGTCAGGCCACGCACAATAGGGTAGGGATTCGTAGTTGCACGTCACAATACGTGGGCTTCCTTGATAATGAACATAACAAGTGAGTTCGTGGTTTGACCGCTATAACGACTAAAATAGACCCAAATAGGAAAATGGTAACTGAAGGATTTATTTTAAATCAGCCTTTTATATTTTTAGATTAAAAAAACTTCAATTTTGATAATAATACCATACCTATCCTGCAAATGAAAAAGTAAAGCTAATGGCAGTAATGCATATAAGTCGTTTTCTTCATAAAACGTTTATTTTTAACAGCTTACAATAATATTATTAAGTTATTAATGCAGCTAGTTTTAGGTAATTTTCTGTGGAGTTTATTGGAGATGGAATAGACGGGTAAAAAAA